AGGTATGAAAATAAATCATGAGGGTGTTACTATGTGGTTGCTAATGTATTCTGAACAAATTTAGGGCATTACAAGGGCATTACTGTGCTTTGGGTGGTTGCTAACAGTTAGGCTACATTTCATTTCACTGACTAGGCTATATATCTGAACCAAAAGGTTCTTCCACAGCCTAATAGGGAAGGCGTGAAGAGATTTGAAGACAGTGACACAGACAGGATCTTTTGAACACATGAGGCTTGATACTGGAGTTTTGCTGGGAAGTTTGGGGGTTGTTAGCCTCACTGGTTTGTACTCTCATCCTGATGATAACACACTCTCTGTGGACACAGAAACCTTTAGCTTTATAAATCGTGCTGGCTCTGCTCATTTGAAAATATGTCCCATGTGACTCCCTCCCACAGTACTCTCATCCAAAGATTGTGTCCTTCCATTTCTGTCTCTCTCTCTTTCTGTTCGTCCCGCTCCGTCTCTATCATAATTACACATGTTCACATAGTATGAAGTTTCATGCACCTGGTGAGTTTGAGCATGTGTGTCCGCATAGACTTTAAGCGATGAGAAGAGGAGCAGTAGGTTGAGTGTGATGAAGCTCATATAGAGGAGAGAGTCGTTTATCTCTGGCCGTGTGAGAGAGATATAACGTAAATAACCTCAGCCTCACACGATCGATTTATCAGACCCTCGGCTCAATCTCACAAACCGTCCCATAAACACAGCTTTGGGGTGACCCCACATCTGTCCGGCCTGGCCGTCCCCACATGCACAACTTCAAGATGAACCTATAGAGTGGGAGCGTTAGAGAGCCTGCCTTCCTTTTATATAAACATATCTTTAAAAGAACTGCCTGGTGAGAATTATTACATTTTGAACTGTTTTCCTACCTCCTGATTGGATGAACCGCCATGGTCACAGACAATATGCCTTGTAAAAATTCCATTCACATAATTTAAATTATCATGTGTGTGTGTGTGCGTATATATACTGTATATATATATACTGTATATATATATAATTAAATTGTTACATAATATTATTAATACTATTTTAATATATGCAAATTTTAATATATGTACATTTTAAAATATAATTAAATTATGTTACATAATATTATTAAAAATATTTTAATATAATTAAAAATATATTAACATTTGAATATTGGAATGTGTCTATACATCTAAAAGAATGTGTTTGTCTCACACACACACACACACACACACACACACACACACACACACACACACAAAAACTATATATATATATTTATACATACATATATGTGTGTGTGTATTTCCTTTCCGTCTTGCACTTTGTCATCTAAAATTGGAATGTGTTTGTCTTATTATTTTTAATGTTTGTGTCAGCGTCTGCTTGGAAAAATTCACTGTTTTGACATTTTAGAAAAAGGAGTATACACCCCAAAGATGAATTAATGTGTCCATCTTCAGGCGAATTGTATTAAGTTACCATATTTATCATTTTATATTTATCATATATTTGTTAGATTGTTTTTAGTTGTATTCTATCACCGTTTGACTTTAGAAAAGCTTAGCAGCTTTCAGCAACACCTGCCATTGACACCCAGCAAGACTGTAGAATCTTCTATGTAAAGAATCTCCCTCGCAAAGTATTCTTCTCTTAAACATATGCACGTCCAGGGTTGTGTGTCCTCCCTAAAACTTTGCGACAAGGCAAAACACTTGCATTCCGACTATGGACATTGACCTTGGCAGTTAGCAGCTCTAATTCAGGGGAGTAACACCGCCACTCCCAGCTTCTCTACCCCAAAACACACACAAACACAAACACAAGCCACACACACATCCACAAATACAACACAGCTGCAAGACATCTTGATAATATCTGACAGCCGATCCATTCCAGGTCAGTGTTCATCCCAGACTGCACTCCATGCCCTCATCTCTTTCCTCGCTTGCGTCCATGTCCCTTGTGACACAGTAACCATCCTACAGGTCAGATGCACAGACATTACTGTATGATTATCTAAACAAAACAGCTACATCTTCGCGAACCCACAGATTTGTCTGGTACATTCCAAAGTATTGTATGTGTCAGGCTTCCTCTTTTAAAAACAAAGTCCTTAAGCAACATTTAAAACCACACGATCCATCTATATTAAAGAGTTTGTCAGTTATAAAGTCTTTCATGAGGTGTTATGTTTTTATTAAGTGACTCCACAATGTTTGACCCAAGTGCTGCCTAACTGGATCATTTGTATTCAAGCCGGTATATCAACGTTTTTGTCTTGTTTTGTTATTCTAATTCATCTCTTTATTTTATTTTTTTACCAAGGTTGTCACTTAAATTTTGTTCCCTTCCTTGAGTTTAGTTCTGGCCTGGAAACACCATTTGTTAGACGCCACGTTGTAGCGAGCGTGTCGTTGAAGTACATGCAAGATTAAGTGTGTGTGCAGTTGCTGTTATCTGTCATCTTGCGAGTTGGGTGACCGCCTCTTCTGTTTATGTGTGTGTGTGTGTGTGTGTGTATCTCAGAGTAAGAGTCAGTGTGTGTGTGCTTGAGCTCTAAGTCGGATGCGGACATGTGAGTGTCCAGTTTCCAGTAACCTTTGACCCTATAGAGCTAATTAGTGATATCCCCACTAACACCACTGAGAACATCACATTCTGTGGCATTTGTTCATTCATTTTTCATTTACAAAGACTGCTGTTCACCTGCTGCTGTCTGTCACCGTTACACCAGAGGAACAGAAAGACAGAGAGATCTTGGATGCAGTCAGTGATTACAAAATCATTTTAAAATTGATATAATATAGTCGTTATTACCATATATTATGTCATTCATAAAATGCAAATATTTTGTTATATTTTTATTAATTATTTGTAATTATTTTTATCAAACATAAATTAAAGATTTTTATAGATGACTGTATAAAAATCAAGAAATAGTTATGGCCACATACACTGTTTATTCTTGCTGCTGTTGTTATTATAATTCCTAGTAATAATTGCTGAATTTGATAGATCATCTGTTTTGTATGCATATAATATATTAAAATGATAAATAAATATGTCAATATTATTTCTCCAGGTCATGTCTGCGTTCCTTTTTTATATTATTGAATGCAACAGGAACTGTTCTATTAGCCTGTCTTTTTATCTTTCTGGGTTTTAGTGTCGGTGAAGATGAGAGAGCTCAGTCTAAGAAAACAGTAGCTATTTTAAGCTCTTCACGTAATGCTGCATTAGGACAGGACGATTAATCTTATATCCCACTTTTATTTTCTTTTGACCAGCCCACCCACCAGGGAGGGAAAGAGAGAGTCACAAAGACTGTACGTGACCCTATTAAAATACTTTTTATATACCTGCACTGAGCATTCATCTGTAAAGGTTCTTTCAATTACTTCTGCTTAAGATTATTGAAAACAACTCTCATTTGGTTTATCACACCTGTAATCTCTGTAAAATCTGATGTGCTCTTGGAAGAAACAAGATCTGTCCATTCATCTGTCAGGTTAATAAGAACTATGGCAAGGTTAAAATACCTTTGGTAATTTGCTGTGGCAGAGGGAGAGAAGAGATGCTGTTTCTAAGACACCGGAACTGTGTAGTGTCAGAGGGCAGAACTCTGGAGATTCTCTCTCTCCTTCTTGGGTAATCTCTCAACTTGCAATTAGCATGTGAACTTTATTGTACTTTTTGCAATTTTATGCATTCATTTAATCTGTGCATCACTAACTAAGGACATCTAAGGATGATGGGGACTAACTAGCATGCTGAGGAGAGAGCAGATACCCCCGCGTGTGTCCTAGCAATCATCACCTGTTTTAAAACCACTCTTGAGTCGCCTTCAACCTCGCCACTTAGAGCTCGCCTAGATCGGGATGTTTAGGCTTGAATTAGTAGGTTGTATTAGAGACTGGTGTGGGGTACCATTAAAAAAGCAAAACATGGGGTTTGGGGACGCGGAGTATCCATTTCACGTGCCCCTCCGGAGGCGCCAGTGGGCCATTTGAGACGCTTCTCGTGGGATCCTATTAGAGGGCATCGGTGCTGAAAGCTGCACGGACTCTCCCATGAGCAATGCGCGATTGCGCGTGCGGTCATCACTGTACCATTTTATGAATCCCACTGTTCCAGTGCGCGCAATTGTTATTTCCGGTCAGAGACCCACCATTAAAATCCTCAGGCAAATGCCACCTGACAACTACAAAAAAAAAAAAAAAAAAAAAAAAATCAGAGAGCAAGTGCGGCGCCCCTGGCTGATGCTTAACGTGAAACAGACATTTAGCTTTCCTTCAGCAGTTTCCAAACTGTACAATAGCTATCAGGACAGGAACACAAAAGACTTTGGTTTTAAAAATGTAGAATTATATTTTAAATGTTACGTTTTAATAATAATAATAATTATTATTATTATTATAACAATAATAATACATTATTATTAATAATGTAAAAAGTATTTTGAAAAAAAAGCCATATTGCATTAATAAGTGTGAAGATAAATTGGAAATACAGAAAAAATAATGAAAACAGTTGTTATACTCTGGTCTTTCTACACTATTTCTTTGAAATTAAGAATTTAAGAATTACATTTTTTCTTGTCATTGTTTCTCAAAACGTTGTCATTTCCGTTGTAGGTAGAAAATAGCTTAATTGTGCACGATTTTTTTTTATCTTTATTATATATATATTTTAAATGATTTTAACTTGATTTAAAAGTATTTATTCTGTTAAATGAATGAGTGCCTATTGTGGTTGTATTGTCCTTGAATACCAATTATATTCCTGAAACTAATATAGCAAATTATTCAAAATAATCTGAATTATTGCACAGTGAAATAAAATCACAATTTGAGGTTTTCTGTTTCTGCTACATGATAAATGACAACTAGGCTTATATAATGCACTATATCGCAGCAAAACTGGTGCATAATTGTATTATCTGAGCAGGTTTAGTCTTTGCTTCCACAAGGAGTATCTTGCCGCGTGCGGGGGCACGCCCCTGAACACGAGAGATAAATGGTAAGATCCTTTAGTTCGTGAGTTACAAGTTACGGTCATCCTCAAGCTCGCGCATGACACGTTTCAACTGAAGGCAGTTGCGTTATCTCCAGGTCCATTCAGAGAACCACTACATCAAATCAGTCCTAGTTTTCTCCATCATCCTCGTCTCCAGCTAAACATGTCCACCGGCTCCATCAGCGAAGTGGATGAATTTCACGAGTCCGAGCTGCTGGATGGTCTTTTGAAATTCGGTTCCGGTAAAGACCCGGGGACATCAAACGAGAGCACGGAGGACAGCTCCAACTGCGAAGGGGCATCGGTGACCGAATGTACGGGAAAGAGGCGCAAATCAGCCGCCATGCGCAAATCAGCGGCCAATGGTGTGGCCCAAGAGGGCAAGCACGTCCAGAGGAACGCAGCGAACGCGCGCGAGAGAGCGAGGATGCGCGTGCTGAGCAAAGCCTTCTCCCGGTTGAAGACGACTTTACCGTGGGTTCCACCGGACACCAAACTCTCCAAGCTGGACACCCTGCGACTGGCCTCCAGCTACATCGCCCACCTGCGACAGATACTCGCCAATGACAAATACGAGAATGGCTACATACATCCGGTAAACCTGGTGAGAGACTTTTTTGAAAATTGGCACAAAAAAATAGCAAGATGCTTTTATGGTCTAGCCTACTCTATAGTAGCCTATGTACAATGTAAAATGTTTACATAATTAACAACATATTTGTTTACGATCATTAAACAACAATTTCTGCCACCGTTTTATGAGCTTTCAGAATTTTTCAAAAGGTCGAAACCTTGAATTCGGTAGGCCTACTTTGATTTTACTTAAAGAATGCAGAAAGTAAAAAAAAAAGTTTTCCATTTGAGTATGTTGATTTGTTTTTAGTGTATAAATTAGCAGCCCTAAAATTATAGCTCTTCTGAAAAGTGTTAAGCCTTCAGAAAGATTATTTTCATGACCGAATACTGCACCTTTTATTTCAACATTGTAAACATTTATTTTCATGATTTATCGCAACTTTTTATCTTTTGCCAAATCAACTTAGATAATTATCCTAATGTGGTCCAGATAACATACTATTTTGAGTTTCTATTTATTAAACCAATTTTCCTTTGTTGTATTAACTAACAATTAACTAACACTATTTCGTTTTACAGTGAATAGGCCTTAGACAGTTACAGTATTTTGACCAAATGGTATGAAATATCATCTGTGTATAATCTAGAGTTAATGTTTACCATATAGGCCTAGCCTATATATAAAATTAAAAAGCAAGCGTACGTTTCTCAGTTATTTGACGTGCTTACTAATTTTAATTTTACTCTCATTCATGTTTTTCCACAGACGTGGCCGTTTATGGTGGCGGGCAAACCAGAAAATGAACTTAAAGAAATGCTGAATTCTACACGTTTATGTGGGACTACAGCTTCCTGAGACAACAGATGGACTTAAAACATGGACCTGTTTTAAATATTTTAGTTAAAAAGAATAACATGTCATCTCCTATCCAAACACACGAGTGGGAATAACTGGGGACAACATCCTCACTCGCATTCCTGTAAAGAGAAATTGAAATCTATTTAAATATTCACACTTGGGCCTTGCTGGTTCAAGGCAACAATGTGATTTTTTTTATTCCGCTGTTTTTATAAATATTCTGTCATCACTTTTTTATTATTATTAAAAAACACCAGAAATCATTACTATAGGGATTTGGTGATAATATGGCGCGTGACATGCACGCGCTTTTGCTGTTGGCATCAGAATAGGCTAATTGTAAATAAAAATACTGATGTTATAGTTTCAAATGATTCAAGTTACCTCTTTGATCGAGCATGGACGGAGAGTTCATGTTTATTCACTTTGCTTTGACCTGTGTGAACCTTGTTATCATTTCGCCCCACCTTTTTTCTCTCAAGATCTTTGGCGAGAGGACATGTCACCCTGCCACCCTGCCTGCAAGAGATAACATGATTAATTCCCTTAATCGGAAGAAACGTAAACCTTCTCTTTATCATGATATATCTGTCATCAGATAAGCATAGCTTTAACCGTTTTGGAAAATCAGAGAGAGCGCTTCTAATAGTGATCTAGAAACATATAGCCTATAGACTAATTCCCCCGACTCTGAAAAATATTTCCCCCTTTTTAAAGTAGCCTAGTCATGCCTTAACAAAATGTAGGCTGACGTGATCCGTGTTTAAGGTCAGTTGTTTTTAGACCAGTAAATCGCGCGGCTCTTAATCTCACTGTGCAGCCGTTGTTTAATTTCGCGCGGGGTTGTGACCGTTATGTTTATAGCGCGCGGACAGATATTTATGCGTCACTCCTCCGAGGGGCGCGAGAGCGCGAGTTACCCGGAGTTACCGTTGATGGGACGTCCGATGTCACAGTCACGCTGCGGCCTTAAAGCTTAGAAAAACACTGCCCCCGCGCTTATAACTGTATTCCACATTAAACCAGTCATCACTGTTCTCTCACAGAATTACAGAAATCCGCGCGGTGAGACAAAACGGTTTGATGGCGCAAGACAATAACAAGCTCGCCGCCACCATTCATCACGCGCTGTTATTGTAAGGAGAGTCTGAGGGGTGATCTGTGCGAGACTGAGAGCGAGGGAGGCTTAAGCACACACACACACACACACACATACACACACACACAAGGCAATAAAGCAGCTCTAAACATTGTGAAATCTTTTGATAAGTCTTAAAATGAAATATGATTGTAGAAATACTTTCCTACTTACAGTGTAAGAGTTCTTAAATGTGATTTTCGGTTACTTTAACTGCCACAGCCTATTTAGTTATAGGCCTTCTTTAGCCTATTTTTTTTATTATTCGTTAAGTTTTGACGCTCAGTGTTGGAATTTACTTGAGCATATTTTAAAGGCTAACCCAGACAGAATATTAACGTACAAATTATTATTTAAATAGAGCTGTCATGGCGCCAATTTGTTGACCTGCCTTCAAGGCTAATTTGGGTTCCCTCACAAATTTTTTAGTTAGCTATACACTTAAGTACAACTTAAGTACCTAACAATTCTTCATGAACATAAACTCACTTGTGATTATTTAGCCCTTATTATACTTGATATAAGCTTAAATATTTTTTTATATAAAACTGTAATTTATGTTGTAGAACAAAGCAACAAAGTCTCTTTAAGTTATGTTAGTCACAGGCTTTATCTTACTATGAAAAAAAAAAAAAATCCCCAGAATATATATAAATTTTTTAAACCCATTAGAGGGAACAATAAAAAATTAAATTCTCTTTGGTTTTTGGACTACACGCTGAAGTTAATAGCCTACATTAGCATTATTCTTATTACATTGGCAATTACAGATGCAGTTTAGTAAAATTTAAGCAACATAGCAGTAACTTGTAGATTTTTTTTATGACAACTGAGAAGGATTTTTGCTCACACTTTAGATTATGGTACAATTCTCACTATTAACTACGACTTTTCCCTCAATAAACTCATAATTAGGCTACTGCTTATTAATAATTAGTAGTTGTTAAGTTTTTGATTAGGAATGTAGAATAAGGTCATGCAGAATAAGGCATTAATATGTGGTTTATAAGTACTAATAAACAGCCAATATCCTAATATGCATGCTAATAAGCAAGTTAGTGAGAATTGGACCCTAAACTAAAGTGTTACCGGATATTGTCTGTAAAGATTCTTATTAGACATTTTTCTCTTGTTGATTTTAGAGCTATAATTGTCTCAATCTGCTGAAACAAGAAAAGTGATATGTTCAATAAAAATGTTTAGAAGCACTACAGAGGATGTAAAATAGCCTATATCTCATGCTAAAAAGTTTTATGGGACATCTTTTTCTCACGGGACGCTGGAATCCACACTATAAGAGAATAAGACACAATTCTTTATCTCCTTCTTCGTCTTCTTTTTATGTCATCACCTGAAAACCAAAATAACGTATTTTTCGTTTTATTTAAAGGAGTTCCCTTTATTTCCTGTGCGAAGCGCACGTTCGTCGTATATATATCATCACGGATAAGTCCAGTCGCTCCATCAGCGCAAGACCACCGCAGAGAACACTGAACAGTGCCCGGGTCAGCTGCGCTCTGCCCGGCAGCGGGAGGAGGAGGAGGAGCCCGGGAGGCTCGGTCATTAGAAAGATAAAGTGGACCCTGGTTTCCCATGTGCTCCGAGAATGGCTAATTGTTTTGTTGGACGACTGCCCAAACCTCTCTTTTATAGAGATCCTAAAGTCTCTTGAGAGGGAACATTGGCATGTCTAGATGCACATACTCTAAAAACTAGATAAGAGTTGCGTGTGTGTCAGCTAACTTTTATGACGAGCATTAGACGCTGGTTTAAAGCAGCTAATGTTAAACTGCTCGTGTCTGGATTGTATCTGATCTGTTATGTCACCCTTCACTCAAAACTCCGTTTCTTTAATATTTTTTTTCTAGTGGCTTAACAACTTCATACTACACTATACATAAAACAATACAGAGACCAAGAACTTTTAGAATGCCCTTTTGTGAGCAATTCTGTCTTACAGTCTGAGAGAAACTGCATCAATCATGATGACACAATAGATTTCAGCACCTAGACATTGAACAGCGACTGAAGAGCTCAATAAGTCTCGCTACTAGGTTAGGTTACATCAGAGACGTGAAAAACAACAATACTGCAGCAATATGCATTCATTTTGCAAGCTGGATTAGGACCAAGTGCATATGCAGAGGAAGGCACAAATACTTACAATGATTTTGTTTTACTACAGATGCTGATTCAAAGAGAAATCTATAGCCTATATATAGTAGCCTACTTTAAAAAATTCAACCCACTAAAACTGAAAAAGTTTGAAAAAGAAAAAGATTAACTGTGAATTATTAATTGTTGATTAATAAATCCAAAGTGCAGCCAAGCTGACAACCTGCATGGTGTTGATTTGCTCTTTTTGAAAACTCATAAGTTTATTCACACTAAACATGAATTCTTGTTCTATTCTATGCACCTATAAATGACGACAAACATAATTATTATAATACTCTGTGATGAAAAAAAACTATTATCTTTAACGTCAGTGGTGTTTGAATACATAGGGATAAAAAAATAACACTGCTGTTAACTAGCAAAAGCTTTAGGTTTTCACATGATTTGGGATCATATTTTTTTAATATAAAATACACCTTATTTATTTATTTTTTACAAAGATTTGGAGTAGCCTACGTTTTACAAGAAAGTACTATTTCAGTATTTCTACTTCAAAATTCATGTTTAACTCAATGTGCTACTTGCCGCTTTTTAATTATTTGTGAAATTTACTAGCAATTTCTAAATGAAAATGTTTTCAAAATAAATTCAACACCAAGTTATTTCAGTGCTAAAATTATATTTTTTTCCCAGAAACGTTAATCATATTTTCCCATTCTTAACATGTATTTTAATAATAAAAAAATACAATTTTAAAGTTAAAATGTATTCAAAAATGAAAGTATTACATAAATAATTCTTCACTACAGGATACACTTGGATGCTACAGATGGTCCTTGATGTAGCGACCATGTCCTGCAGGGGGAGCTATAATACAGTTCTTGACCACACATCTGAACCTTCTTACGCCCGTTTCACACATACTCCGTGTGCAGTGCGTATGCGGTGCGTGTTGCGGTGCGTATGCGGTACAGGAGCAGCACGCGCTATAGTGCTTTCACATGCTGCGTGCGTTTGCAGTGCGCAACTGATCCGCGGCAGTACCACAAACACATTTACTCACTATTTGTATTTCAAAAAATCATCAATCAAATCAAGTTATCAGCAGCAAAAGTTTTTGCCTCCAGTGCAATTCTCTTTGTAGGCCTATTCACGTTTAAAACACAATTTAAACAACGTATTATTCAATGCATTACTTTTATATAGGCCTAGATTATAGGCTATATTAAGTTGCTCAAGCAAGTGGTAACATATTTAACCATGTACTTATATTAAAATCGCAAACATTTTAAATTAAAACTTAAAATTGACAAAAACAGCAGACTCATACCTTTTCTTTTGCATAATTCAAATCTGTATACAATAAATCTTGCATGTCACAAATAACTTGTTTTTCCACCTCAACGAATGAGACGAGTGTCGTTCATTATGTGGCCTTGTTGAAGTAAATTGTAGCTTTCTTTGCTTTACCCCGGTCTTAAAGTAAAAAGATGACTGTGAACAAAGTAGTATTTAATTAAATGCATTTATGGTTACATTTTATTTAATTAAATACATTTATGGTGAGATTACTACATTTTATTGAATTAAATGCATTTATGGTGAAATTACTACATATTCAGGTCAGTCTGTGTTCATTTTGACCACGAACCGTGCGCTGTCACTTTAATTCAGCGTTTGCAGCACAGCAGAAATAGACTCGGTGCGTAAACGATCTCTGCACTGCTGTATACGCACCGCAACTGGAACGGATCGACGGACCGCATCCGCGTGCAGTGTGAAAGCTCTAACCTGTTAACATGGGTACGGAAAAAAATACGCACCGCATACGCACTGCAAACGGAGTATGTGTGAAACGGCTGTCTATGATCTGAACTGTGCCGCCACATGAGTGCATGTATGGTTCTTGAATGGCCACTGGGTGGCAGTAAGACATCAGAGAGGCAACTACGGTATGAGCTCCCCTTTCCATAAAAAATTCTGCCAGAGGCTTTCCATGGCAAGCGTGCA